TTAACCTCATCACTTTGCTGTTCAGCCTCCATGCACTGAGTGTCTAGATGGATCTAAGGGAACCATAGCCAAATATCCAAATACTATTGGGGTCAACATATTCCTTAATACCCACTGAATCTGCTGCACGAAGGGATAAAAATAGAATGGCAAAGAGACTGCAGATCACCTCCTCCTGCACACCCCTGAATGCTTAGACTGAACTTATAGAAATTAGGAAGGAGAGTATAACCCATCAAATGACTAGAAATCACTGCAAAGGCACAAGAAATATGAGAAATCAAGATAATATCTCCCCATCAGGGGAAAAGAATAACTCCTCTTCACCCACAGACGGTACAATGGGGGACCAGCAGTTGGTGTCACGGCTATGTTGCTGGACTCCCATGTAGTTGACTGTGGTTCAAGTCCTGGACTGGGTGGCTTACACTAATGCCGGGCAAGTGTGCATGCATGCCCAAGATCCCAAGAGAAAAATGGAGGAGAAGGGATTGTGGCGTGGCCATCCCCCCAGGGGGGTGATTTCTTGCTTTCTGTATTTCTGGAGAGTGCATGCACCCTATAGCATGCACCTTCCCTAAAAAAGAAAAAAAAAAAAAAAAGAAAAAAGCACAGACAGTACAATGGAATTCACAGAAATGTCTGAATTTAGAATATTCGCGTGACAAAGCCAATAGAGATGGAAGAGAAGGAGACAATGAACTCCAAAAGAGGCAGGAGAATAGAGCTGAGGAGTTTCAGGAGGTGAGGAAGTTCTTGTACGATCTCAAAGAGGAAATACACATCATAAAAAAGAATCAAATGGAGCTGTTAGAAATGAAGGCTGTAATACAGGAAATCAAAACTTCCCTTGAAAATATTAAAAGCAGACTAGATCGTACTGAAGATCAAATCTCAGATTTAGAAGACAGAATTGCTGGGTTAGAAAAATTCACCACAAAGACTGAGAAAATAGCCCCCCAAAATGAGAATAATGTATGAGAAATACTAGCTACCATTAAACGTCCAAACATCCCTTCTGGGATAATCAGTATTCCAGAAGGTGAAGAGACTAATAAGGGCATTGATTCAATGAAATCCTGGAAGAAAACTTTCCAAACCTAGAGAGGCATTCAAAGATTTAGACCCTAGAAATACAAAGGACCCCAAATAGAAAAACTCAAAATGATCTTCTCCAAGACACATTATAGCCAGTTTGACCAAAACCACAAAGACAAGACACTCAGACTGGCAAGAGAGAACTAACAAGTTACCTACAAAGGATATCCCATCAGGCTAACAGGGACCTCTCATCAGAAACAATGCAAACAAAGAAAGAATGGGAAAATATATTCGAAGTGTTGAGTGAAGAACAATTTCAACCAAGAATACTATACCTGGCAAGATTATCCTTCATATGGGAACAGAAGACAAGAACATTCTCAGATAAACAAAACCTGAAAGAATCTACCAACACCAGAGAAGTTCTCCAAGAAGTTCTGAAGAGAGTGCTATACCAGGAAAACTAAAGTCAGACACACAGAAATAAGAGTTCAAAAACATCTAAGAAAAGGGCCAACTTAATGGTAAGGACAAGTTCGAAGTTGAATATTATCTTGCAGAAGTTAAACAGAAAGCTGGGATCACAACAGAAGTTAGATTAAGTACATGAGACTGAGCTGGTAAAATAGAACTCTATGACTTTTGACGAAAACAATCTTTCTATGCTTTGTACTCCAGAGATAAGGATTTTTGTCTTCTCTTTAACTGTCAACAGATCCATGTACCTACTATTTGAACAGAATCCTAATCTGTTTCCTGATTTTAATTCTTAAGCAAAGTTCTCTTAACATTTTTAAAATTTGATTTATTAAAGCTAAAACTGCCTTTCTTGAAATTAAATAAATAAATAAACAAAATACCTATTTAATGACCACAGTAAGCTATGTAGCCTCAGCTAGGTGCTATTTTATAGAATATTCATTCTACTCATAGTTTCATGCCTAAAGTGAAACATGTGTTCACAGATATTTATATATCAGCTGAGCTTGCTATTGAAAGTAGATCAATTAAGGTATTTTGTTAACCACTAAAATGTGTGTGTGGGGGAAGAAATGGAAAGCAACTACAGATACCAGAGACAGTGTGGGAGGAGGGTAGGAAATGGCAGAGGGTGAGAAATGGGGAGACTGTGTCTGTGTGTGTGTGGTGTGTGTGTGTGTGTGTGTATGTACATATGCATATATATTTATATACAAAATAAGAAATGAAAAATTATTTGTTGATGATAACATGTATGATTAAGCCACTATATACTGTATTCTGGATGGGAAACTGCATTGTGTATGCTGTGATGATGTTCAGTAAATGAATGAAAAATTAAAAAAAAAAAAAAAAAAGAATGACTAAGTTAAAGGTCACTAACAAATTACTAACTGCAAAACCAGTAGATTAAAACTAAATTTAAGGGGACAGCATATCGCATGATGATTAAGGCACTGGACTCCCACATATCTCTGACTGCAGGCAGAGTGCCAGACCTGGCTGCTTGCTTTCTCACTCTCTTTCTCTATCTAACTCTGGTGAGTGCACATGTCCTGTAGCAACTTAAAAAAATAATAACCATAAATAAAATAATTCTTGGGACCTGCAGATGGCATAATGGTTAAATCGTTTGACTCCCATGTAGTCGACTGTTGTTTGAGTCCTGGACCTGGTGGCTTAAAACTCATGCCAGGCACATGAGCATGTGTGCCCAAAATCCTGAGGGGAGAATGGAGGAGAAGGGATTGTGGCATGGCCATCCCCTCCCACCCCAGGGGTGGATAATTGCTTATTTTCTGTCTCTGCGTCTTTGGCAAGCACAGACCCCTTATAGCAAAAATCTCTCTCTCTCAAAAAAAAAAAAAAAAAAAAAAGAATTCTTACCAAAAAAAGTCCACTAAATTTAAACAAAATACTGTAGGGATTATTTTAGGCATGCACACATATATACCCTGCATGTTTTTCAAACTGCTGGGGCTAGGATTTGAACTGTGTTTCGCCATGTAGATTTAGGCTCTCTCAACCACTAGAAAACAGGGTTAGCTCAATTCAGTATCTTTTTTTAAAAGAATTATTGTACTTAACTTTATTTTTAATTATTATTATTTTCAAGTTCGATCAGACAGAGAGGGAGAGAGGGAGAAAAGTGAGAAAGCAAGCTACCAGGTCCAGGACTTGAACCACAGTTAACCATGTGGGAGTTTAGCACCTTTAACCATCATGCCACCTGCCAGCCCCTCAACTCAGGATTGATCATAGCTTTGTAAGAGACTGTAGGACTAAAAACCTTGGCTGTTGCCTATGGGAAGAGCCTGAAGGAGAGGACTTGTCTAGGCAATGCCTGGATTGACTCTATAAAACCATGAGATGGGGCCAGCAGGTGGCGAAGTTGTGAAGGTGTTGTACTCCCACACGGACAACCACAGTTCGGACAACCACAGTTCGAGTTCCAGACCAGGAGGCCTGCTTTCACTCCCTCCAATACTCCCTCTTGCGCTCTCTCTCTTTCTCTCTCTCTCTGGTGAGTACACAAGCCTTTCAGCAAATTAAAGAATAATAAATAAAATTAAAGGAAAAAACCCACTGTGCTCTGAAGGAAGATCTAAAAAATAAATTGTGAGGTAATAAATGTATGTGTGTGTGTTTTAAGGTTTTGCCTTAGTGTGCATAGGCTCGCCAGAGAGACAGAAACAGAGATAGACAGAAAGAGGGAAATTGGGAAATCATCTGTAATGGGGGATGGCCACTCTGTAATCCTTCTTCTCCATTCTTGAGATTTTGGGAACACATGCAACACATGCTTGGCATGTGTTGGGGACATGTTCCATATTAAGAAAATACTACAGATTACATTATAATGATTATTGTATTTCTTTCTTTTGTTTTATAGAAGTTTTTGTCAAAGGGTACATGCGCTCACTGGAGAGAGTCAGACAGTTAAGAGGGAATGTGAGAAATCATTTCTTGGGGGGATGGCCATATTGCAATCCATTCTCCTCCTAGGATCCTGGGCATGCATGCACACACACCCAGCATGACCAGGTCTAGGAGTTAAACCAAAGTCAGACATGTGGTAGTCCAGTGATGTCACTGCTATGCTATCTGTTGGCCCCTATATTGCTTTTTTTTTTCTTCTTTAAGAATTATTTTATTTAAATTTATTCATTTTTAATTTGAACAGAGAGAGATAGAGGGAGAGAGAAAGAGAGGGAAAGTGAGAAAGCAAGCCACCAGGTCCTATTTTTCCTTCTTATGAAAGCAATATAGGGGCTAGCAGGTGGCGTGGTGGTTAAGGGCACTGGACTCCCACATGGCCAACCATGGTTCAAGTCCTGGACCTGGTGGCTTGCTTTCTCACTTTCCCTCTCTTTCTCTCTCCCTCTATCTCTCTCTGTTCAAATTAAAAATGAATAAATTTAAATAAAATAATTATTTAAAAAAAAAAGAAGGAAAAATAAAAAGCATTGAAAACCAGAACATTAGCGGTTAGCATAACCATGTATTATTTTCATAATATACAAAATACTCAAGTTTCCTATAATAGTCTTCTGTTGAATATTTATAAAGAATGATTAGGTAGGTAGTGACATGTTTATTAATTTTGGCTATTACCAAAGAACAACATTAAGAGATGAACTGCATAGACCTCCATATTTTGAAATGAAGCAACGTTAATTTTTTCTAGTTCCATTTTTTTTTTTTAAAGAAATGCATTCATTCATTCATTGGGACAGAATGAGAGCGTTCGTGCATGTAAAATAGAGAAAGGGAAAGTGAGAAAGTAAGTCGCCAAGTCTGGGACTTGAAGCTACGATTGCCCATGTGGCAGTCCAGTACCCCTAACCACCATGCCACCTGCTGGTCCAATTTTCTCTAGTTTCTCACCTAACATAAGCTAGGAAAACCCTAACAAAAAATATATGTCTTAACAATATAGAAGAACAAAACAAAACAAAAACATCTGTAAAATATTATACCTCACTGGCAGACATATTTTTCACCTGTTCTGGTTTCAGTTCTGAAAAATTAAAAAAAAGTCAGTCACTTAAAGGAAAGAGAAACACATTGAGAATATATAAGATATATAAATGCTTCTAATATAGTAACATTCATTGTAAGGAGGCATTCAATTTCTTGCATAATGCCCAAGAAAACATTGTTTCAAATTTGAAAATGAACTAAAAGAATCAACTTGCTCATTAGAGAAAGTTCATTTGCATTTTAACTAAAATCTTTTTTGTTTCAAAATAATAGCTAAAATGACCTAAAAATATAAACAATGTATACATTAGCTGCTGCTTCTGAGTCCACTATCTGAACTCTGGTAGAAAAAAAGACCCCTTAATAGTTTCAAAATATGGGCCGGCCAGGTGGCATGGAGACTAAAGCAGTTAGGAGCCCACATGGCTGACTCTGCAGTTCAACTGACAAACCCAGGAGGAGCTTGAAAATCACACTCAGTGTGAAGGGACTGAGGGATTGTGGGATTGTAATCAAGACACCCTGGGACAGGGGACCAGCAAATGACGTAACATTATTTCACTAGAATCCCATGTAGTTGACAGTGGCTCCAATCTTGGATCTGGAGCTTAAAACTGACCCCAGGCACATGTGCATGTGTACTCAAAAATCTTTAGAGCCCAAATATCCTGAGCAGTGAATGCAGGAAAAGGGTTTGGGGCATGGCCACCCTCCCTGGGGGATGATTCTTGCTTTCTGTCTCTCTGGAAGCAAATGAGTTCTATAGCTATAACACACTCTCTCTTAACAAAACAAAACAAAAAAGGCACCTTGTGGGAGGCAATTTCTCACTTTCCCTTTCTTTCTGTCTCTCCGGCAAGCACATGTACCCTCATAGCAAAAAATACAATATATAAGTGAATAATAAAATCCATGCATACTGGGGCCAGCAGTTGGCCTGGTGGTTAAGGTGCTGGACTCCCACCCACATGGCCCAACACAGTTGGAGCACTTGACCTGGCAGCTGTGCTTGTGCTTACTCACTTCCCTTCTCTCTCTCTCTTTCTGATGAGCACGCATGCTCTTGTATCAAATTAAAAAGCAATAGTGATGGGGGGCTGGCTGGTGGCCTGGTGGTAAAGGGCACTGGACTCACACATGGCCAACCATGGTTAGAGTCATGGACCTGGCAGCTTGCTTTCTCAGTTTCAGTCTTTCTCTCTCTCTGCTCCTCTCTGGTCAAATTAAAATAATTATTTAAAAATATATAAAATAGTAATGATAAATAAAATAAAATAATACTTTAAAAAAATCCATGCATACTAAAAATATATCAATATAATGTTTCAAGGTTACATTTATTATTTTCCAAAGAAGCAGTTCGTTCATTCATTCATTCATTCATTCATGTATTTATAAAATTTACTACAGGGCATGTGTGCTCACTAGGGAGAGAAAGAGAGAGAAAACATCTCCCAGGAGAAAAGATCATGCCACAATTCCTTCTCTTCCATTCTCCTCTCAGGATTTTGGGCATACACCTTGCACACACGTGTGCCTGGTACATTTATCAATCTGGGTCTGGGATTCAATCTGCAGAAATATTACGTCACCTGCTTGGCCCTTTGTTTTATTTGTGTGTGTGTGTATACATTTTAAAGAATTATTTTATTTAATTTTATTTACTTATTTATTTTTAATGTGACCAGTGGGGGACAGAATGAGAGAGAGAGGGCAAGTGTGAAAGGAAGCCGCCAGGTCTGAGACTCAACCACAATCGGCCATATGGGAGTGCTGCCAGCCCCTCTTTTATATTTTTAAAGTGTAAAACCAAGGGCCAGCAGGTGCCGTGGTCGTTGAAGTGGCTGGATTCCCACGTGGCTGACTGTGGTTAGAGTCCAGACCTGGCAGCTTGGTTTCTTTTCTCTCTCTCTCTCTCTCTCTGGTCAACTTCAAAAAATAAAATAAAAATAACGACAATGAATAAAATTAAATATTTTTTTAAAAAGTGTTATAACATCAAACAAAACAAAACTAACCAACTGAACAGATAAAAATAAAGTTACTGGGCAACAGAGTCCATATGTGGTCCATCAGGTCTGAAATATTTACTATCAGGTATTTTACGAAGCAAGAAGTTTCTGTAAACCCTACACTAGAAACTATCCTGCATAAAGTTTCCCACTGCCTGCTTTCAGAATGATGATAAAAAAGAGCCCTCAGTCAGGATTTCTTAAACTTCTAAGGTGGTATAATAAGTAGTTCTAAGCATTTTCAGCTCTTTTACACCTACCTCGGATAGGACCCAGTGCTGCATCTTTTGCCAAAGCTGTTAGATCACTTCCTGAGTATCCCTCAGTCATTCTGAGGAAGAGAAAGAAGAAACAGCAAAACATTTTCATTTTGCAGATTTAAAATCTCTATGCAGTAAGAAGGCAAAAACTAATTTACCATTATCAGCAAGCCAATAGTTACCTGGTTTGATTTTAAGAGCACAGTGAAGTCCATTTGCTAAAAAAGTCTAGTACTGTCTCCTTACATGCCTCTAATTTTCATCATTAGAATCGTTCCTTTAGATTGAGGCGCATTATGTCCAGGAGGATCTATTACATTGTAAACATGTCACCTGGAAAGGTAACATCTCTATGCCCTTGGTGGCTGACATACATATAACCACAGTTACTTTCCTATAAGTTAGTTTGGCAGACTATATTCTTGATGAAATGAGGGTCAATTGAGGAACAGTATTTTTAAAAAAGATTTATTTAATTTTATTTATTATTATTTTTTAATTTGACCAGAGACAGAGAGAGAGAGAAAGAGAAAGTGAGAGAGCAAGCCACCAGGTCTAGGAATTAAACCATGGTCATGTGGGAGTCCATCACCTTAACCACCCTGCCACCTGCCAGCCCTAAGGTACAGTTCTTCAAATGTAGACTAGACAGGATGAAGAAAGGATCTGGAGTAGAAGACAATGGCAACAAGAGGCATACTTGAATACAACGCCATAGTGGAGAGTCTGAAGCAGCCAAGAGATTATTAAAGGGAATTAAGAACCAGGGAAGGGGGGAACCAGCAGTTAGCGTAATGGCTATGTCCCTGGACTCCCACATAGTCAACCGTGGTTCGCGTTCCAGACCTGGTGGCTTAAAACTCACGCTGGGCGCATGTGAGTGCGTGCCCAAGATCCCGAGAGGAGAATGGAGAAGGGATCACGGCGTGACCATCCCCACTGGGGGGTGATTTCTCGCTTTCTGTCTGTCTGTCTGGCGAGCGCACGTGCCCTATAGCGAAAACCTCTCCAAAGAAAAAAAAAAAAAGTCAGGGAGGCAAAGGGGAAAGAAAAATAAAATGGAAAAAAGCATTTACTTATTATGTGCTATGTTGAATAACTACATAGCGCAAGCATTTTTTTTTTTTTTTTTTGGAGAGGGTCCAGGCACTCGCCAGACAGACAGAGACAGATACATTGTTATCACAAAATTCAGAATTTAAAAAATTTTTAAATTGCTCACTACTCACTACCTGAGTATTTTAATTTACCTCATGATGTTTTTCAGGGACTAATTCACAAATCTATCTCAAACATTCAGTTTCTACTTAAGTACACTGTTAATAAAAAAATTTAAGATGGGGCAAGCCTGTGGCCTGGTGATTAAGATGGCTGGATTCAACATGGCTGTGTGGTTAGAGCACTAAACCCCACAGCTTGGGAGACATGCCTGGCACATGTGTGTGTGTGTGTTTATTCCAAACTCCAGAAGATGGAGAATGGACTGTGGTGTGACCATACCCCACAGGAGCTGTTTTCTCACCACCAATCCCACCCCCATCTCCCTCTAGCAAGCACAAGGGCTCCCTGGCAAAAAACAAAATTTAACATGTAAAAGTTTAAAAGTTCTATGTAACACAGAAAAAAAACAAGTTTATATGAAAATATCTGTATTGGTGTGGACAGATATGAGATATTTAAATTTTAAAATTATTTTAATACTACCAAATGTTTTAATAACTTTACAATTTACAGATCAGCAGCTGGCATGGAGGGTAAGGTGCTGGATTCCACATGACTGACACTGTGGTTTGAATCCTGGAACCAGCAGCTTAAAAAAAAAATCACACCAGGCAATATATATACAGGTCCAAAATCCCTATAGCAAATTAAATAAATAAATACATAAATAAATAAATGTAGATACCAACGATTCTTGGGGACTTCAAAAAGTTTGTGAAACATGCAATTAAATGTATGGTTTACTGGGGCCAGCAGATGGTGCAGTGGGTTAAGGCAATGGATTCCTACATGGCCAGCCGTGGTCTGAATCCCAGACCTGACGACCTTAAAATCACATGGAACGCATATATGTGCATGCCCAAGATGACTAGAGGAAAATGGAGAAGGGACTGCAGCATAGCCATGCCCCCTTGAGTGACATTTCTCACTTTCCCTCTCTCTCTCCAGCAAGCACATGTGCCCTATGGCAAAAAAATAAAAGAGAAATAAATTTAAAAATTTACTTTGGTGTAAAGAATTTGAAATCTATTTTTTCATAATGTGTACTTTCTAGCAATATTCGGAAGATCCATTTTACAGGAGTAAACGGTAAGAATGAAGGTAAAAGAGGACCAGCAGATGGCATACCAGTTATGTTACTAGACTCTCACATGGTCGACCGCAGTTTGAGTCCTGGACCTGGTTGCTTGAAACTCACACTGGGTAAATGTGTGTACCCACTCAAGATCCCGGGAGCAGAATGGAGAAGGGATTGCAGCATGGTCATCACCCATGGGGGGTAATTTCTCCCTTTCCCTCTCATTGTCCCCCCCGCCCAGCACATGCACCCTAAGGCAAAAAACACTTAAAAAAAGAAGGAAAAAGAGAATATAAGTTTTCTAACAAATGAATTATTTATTTCACACCTAAGCTTACTATATATATAAATAATGCAGAAAAACTTGTTTTTACAATCAATCAATCAGTATCAGATAAACCAAATCAAATTACTTACCTAGCAAGTTGTGCTAGTTCTTTTTGGGTCAGTGGGCTTCCTTGTTTACATAATAGATTTTTAAGCAAAAGTAGTCTTGTCTAAAAAGAAATAGTAAGGAATTATCAATACACTCTAATATCAAAGTCAGTATTTACTGCTAAGCTAAGAATTAGTTTAGTAATATATCCAGAAACTATGTTCAAACCCTATACCTTGGAGCCTTATTCATGTTTGTTAAATGGAGTTACAACAACCTTCTTTTTTTTTTTTTTATACCGTTCCTAAGAGAATTATAGAAGACAACCCAAACAAAGACTGAGGAAGTAACTGCTATTACCATCAAAGTTCCTAAGGGTCAGAACTAGACAACTACAATCTTTTTTTTTTTTTGGACAGGTTTTTGCTATAGGGCATGTGCGCTCACCAGACAGACAGAGAGAAACAGAGAGATAGAAAGCGAGAAATCACCCCCCAGGGGGATGGCCACGCTGCAATCCCTTCTCCTCCATTCTCCTCTTGGGATCTTGGGCACGCACACACACGCGCCCAGCCTGAGTTTTAAGTCACTGGGTCCGGGACGTGAACCGCGGTCGACTACGTGGGAGTCCAGCGACATAGTCATTACGCTAACTGCTGGTCTCACAACTACAGTCTTTATTAAAAGAATTTATTTAATTTTGTTTATTTTCATTATTTAATTTGCTACAGGGCACATGTGCTCGCCAGAGAGAGACAGAGAGAAAAAGTGAGAGTAAGTCACAGGTCTAGAACTCCAACCACGGTTGGCCATGTGGGAGTCTAACACCTTAACTAATAAGCCACGAGTTGGCCCATATTATTATTATTATTATTATTATTATTATTATTATTATTTTGGAGAGGTTTTTGCTATACCAGGGGGGATGGCCATGCCACAATCCCTTCTTCTCCATTCTCCTCTCAGGATCTTGGGCATGCATGCACACACACCTGGCGTGAGTTTAAGCCACTGGGTCTTGGACTCGAACCACGGTCAACTACATGTGAGTCCAGTGACATAGCCATTATGCCAACTGCTGGTCCTGGCCCATATTACTGTCATCATCATCACTATTATTTTCATTCATCCAAGAGAGACAGAGAAAGAAAGCAGCTAAGTACGGGGTTCAAACCATGGTTGGCTGTGTGGGAGTCCAGTGCCTTAACCACTGAACCCCATCAAGGCCCTGGTAGTTATTTCTAGTCTTAAAAAAAAAATTCAAACATAGAAACATACCTCCTCATTTGGTAAAGATACATATACCCGTTTGATGAAACGCCTTAAAGAAAAAAAGATCAAAGAAATTTTAGAAATATGATTTGGAATTTAAAGGTAATTTAGCTCATTAAGTAAATGACAGAAAAAAGGCTTTAGGTATAATATTTAAAGCAATTAAATGCATTTTACTAGTTATCGATATAAAAAGTTTTCACTGGCTACTCTTTTAAAACTCTCTAGTTAATGGTTAAAAATCCTTAACTTGATATTAAATTTAATAATTAAATGAACCAATTTATACACATATATGTTTTTAATATAAGTACACTTTAAAACAAATGATCTGATCTAAGAAGTTGAATGAAGAGACCTCTGCTATCTTCCTGAATACAAAAACTAGAATCAACAAGGGTAACAGAAATAAAAACTTCATATTCAATGAACTAGTTAAAAATCCTTAACTTGATATTAAATTTAATAATTAAATGAACCAATTTATACACATATATGTTTTTAATATAAGTACACTTTAAAACAAATGATCTGATCTAAGAAGTTGAATGAAGAGACCTCTGCTATCTTCCTGAATACAAAAACTAGAATCAACAAGGGTAACAGAAATAAAAACTTCATATTCAATGAACTAGTTAACAATTATGGCACTAACACATATGAAGGGAACAGGCTAGGGTTGAGAAAATTATGCTGACAAAGGAATACACAAGTGACCTGCCATGGCAGACTGTGCATTGTGTATCATGAACGTTGGTATAACTGGAATGATAATAAAAACAGCTCTCCAACACACACACACACACACACACACACACACACACTTAAACAAGCATGTGAGGTCTCTTTGGAACATGTGAACTCTTTTTTTTTTTTTTTAAAGAATTATTAATTATATTTATTCTTAATTTGACAGAGACATACACAGGGTTGGGAGGGTAGTGAGAAAGCAACCCACCAGGACAGAGACTCAAACCGTAGTCGGCCATGTGGGAGTCCAGAGCCCTTAACCACCACGCCACTTGTCTGCCCCAATAAAATAATTCTTTAAAAAAAATTTTTTTTAATGAAATAGGGAACAGCACATAGTCAAATGGGCAAAATGGTTGTCACTGGACTACCATGTAGGCGACTGTAACTCAAGTGTCAGACTCAGTGGCTTTAACTCATGCCAGTGGGTGTACATGCATGCACAAAATCCCGAGAGGAGAAGGGATTGCAAGTTGGCCATTCCCCCTGGGGGGTGATTTCTCACTTTCAGTCTCTCTGGTGAGTACATGTGCCCTATAGCTAAAAAATCTCTCTCTAAAAAATAAATAATTAAAAAATAGAAATAAATGGGGCTGGCAGCCACCCCCTCTCCTCTTGGGATCTTGGGCACACATTTCAAGTCCTGGACATGGTGGCTTGCTTTCTCACTTTCCCTATATTTCTTTTTCTGATCAAACTGGAAAATAATAATAATAATAATAAATAAAGTTAAATAATCCTTAAAAAAGCAAAAATAAGGGAGGACTCCAAGTCACGTGGTGATTAAGGTACTGGACTCCCACATGGCTGACTATGGTTCGAGTCCTGGATCTGGCAGTTTGAAAATCAAGCCAAGAGCATTTGTGGGCATCCCCAAAATCCCGAGAGGAGAATGGGGGAGAAGGGATTATGGTACAGCCCTCTTCCCAGGGAGTGATTTCTTATTTCCCCCCTCTGGCAAGCACATGCACCTTATGACCAAAACCTTAAAAAAAAGAAAGAAAAGAAAAGAAAAGAAAAAGAAATACATCAATCAAAATATTTTTCAATGAACTATATTTCAATTATATTCAGTAAAGAGTAAACAAAATCAAGTTAAACAATGTATTAATGTGGAAAGTAACAGTCTAAATTCAGACTCTCATACTGCAACATACAATCCTAGAATCAAAGGAGCAATGTTTTAAATTCCTTGGAAAAGAAAAGGAGGACAAGAATTTTTACGCTTAGTCAAATCATCCGTCCAATATAAAGGGAGTAAATGTGCTCAAACAAGGGGAACAGAAAACACTGTTCCCATGAACTCTGTTTGGATCAGCTTCTCCTGAAGCTGAGTGAAAGGTAAAAATCAACTTTGAAATTTAAAGATAACTTAATATAACCCAGAAGAATGGAATGATTTGCCTAAAACTGTAAAATAAAGTCTAGTTTTCCTGGTCACGCAGGCCCTGACCACAAAATCATTTTTTAGTTGGTAACAAGAAGTTAGAGAACATGACAAGGAGGAAAATAATGAATTCAGCCTTAAAACTGAAAGTAAAAAAAAAAAAAAAAAAAAAAAAATCAGAACTATGTGAGATTAACATGTGTGTGTGTATACACCTATGTAATAAATGTGTATTTCCACACAAAACTCCCTACCTGAGGACAGCCTCATCAAGTTCTTGTGGCCTGTTAGTTGCACCCATTACAAGTACTCTGTCATCCCCAGCAGACTGTACCTACAAGCAAACAAAAAACAAATGACCCTTTTACAGTACTTTTAGATGACATAATAACAAAAACAAATACAATAAAGACATTTGTATTTCTAATTTGGGTCATGCAGTAGGAAAATAGATGTACTACAATGTTGCCACATTAAAAAATATAATCAACACTTACACCATCAAATTCTATTAGAAATTCAGTTTTTAGACGTCTACTAGCATCATGTTCCCCTTCTCTTCTTTCACACAGAAGACTATCAACTTCATCTGGAGAAAATAAAAGGTAGGACTTTAATTAAAGGTCAAGCTACGTAAATCACTTGAGATTAGTCTAGTTTACTACTTACGTTATTTATGTTATTTACGTAGTCCTATTTGAATCTATTACATAGTGTTTAACCTCAGCCATCTTTAAAGCATTTCCTTCTGCAGTGGCAGGTGGCATGATGGTTAAGGCACTGGACTCCCACATGGCTGACTGCAGTTGAAGTCTCAGACCTGGTGGCTTGCTTTCTCACGTCCCTCTCTCTTTGTCTATTTCAGTACCTCTCTGGTCAAATTAAAATAAATATATAATTCTAAAACATTTCCTCCTGAATAACCTTTCCTCTAATTTAGAAAGCAAATTCTTACCTATAAAAATGATAGAAGGTTGAAGTTCTCGAGCCACAGCAAAAAGAGCTCTCACCAATTTCTCTCCTTCTCCTACCTAACACAAGACATTATACAGTTACACACAGAAAATGCAGCATTATTCTCGTTTTTTAAATTTCACAATTTCAGTCTAGCATGTAGGAATTTAATTTCTCTTCTTTGCAACAACCTAAGATTTGTCTTATAATTTTAGAAAATATTATTTCATATAGCCTTGTAGATACTTTAAAAATTAAATACACCTCTGTTTTGCTTCACCCTGCATCACTAAGACTTGAAAGCAAAATAGCTATTAGTCACAGGCATAACTAGTGAGAAGTGGGAAAACTAGGAAAGAGCCAGGCTATACATATTTCTTAGCCCGAGACCACAGGGTTTAGAAAAGTAGATAAACTATAAAGTGCTTTCTTAAACAAAACTTTCTTTGCAAGTAGGAACAGCTTCAAAAGTCATTCTCATGATACCACTGTAAGTAATATAAAAATATTTCTATGTAGCCAGGAGGTCTTTGAGCACCCCTTGTGATATTTCCAGCTACTAAAACAACCATACTAAGACCATTCTATGCACTAAAGTATCTAAGGAAAGAATCATGAATTCTATGTTAACTTACTGTAAAAACTCCTCATCTCTAGGTAGTGTTTATTCTTTCAATTGAAAAATTCATGTAGAAACAAATGAAAGGAAAAGCCCCGGATTTAGAATCAGTAAAACAAATATTCACAGAACAGAAGAAATCTCAAGAGATCACCTCCCTTTCCACTGTCCTCACAGGATGTTGGCCATGCACACACACATACCTGGAATGATTCCCTAGCTGCCAGGTCCAGGATGTGAATTGTGTGTGGTAGGCCATGTGGAAGTCTAGCACCTTAATCACCCAAAGTAATTTCTTTTACCCAATTTACTTTTAATTTTTTAATGGTTAATTTTACTTATTATAGCCATTTTTAATTCACCAGAAAGAGAAAACAATTCACCAGGTCTGGAACTTGAACTATGGTTGGCCATATGGGAGTCCTGCACTTAAAACTCACCACCTGCTGGAGCCCAAAGTAATATCTTAAAGCCAGTTCAGTATGTAAGTTAGGCTAGAACTAACTTTTGACAGTGTTTCCCATTACACTATGGGCATACTGTGGGTAAGCCTGCTTGAATAACAATTTTACTTGTAAAATTTCACATGGAAAGCCAAATGTGTTCAGGAGAATTACCATTTTATAGTTACTTTTAACTACTTTACAAAATTGAGGACATTCTAAGTACTAAGGCTTATTAAAGTATTTAAAGAAACTTTTGCCTCTTTTCCAGCTGGAACCATAAAGGGTATTCAAGAGAAGAAAACAGAAAGTTCCGGTTGTGGCAGAAGCCAAGAAAAACGCTCCTGCTGTGGCAGAAACTACCAAGAAAAAGGTTCCTGCTGTGCCAGAAACCCTTAAGAAAAAGAGAAAGAATTTTGTGGAGCTAAAGATCAAGTGCTTGAGAAAAGAGTTTGCTCAAAAGATGCCTAAAAAGGAAGGAGAAAGCTTATCTATGAAAAAGCTAAGCACTATCATAAGGAATAGAGACAGATGTACAGAACTGAGATTCACATGGCCAGGATGGCAAGAAATGCTGGCAACTTCTATGTACCTACAGAACCCAAATTGGTGTTTGTCATCTGGATCAGAGGTATCAATGGAGTGAGCCCTAAGGCTGGAAAGGTGCTGCAGCTTCTTTGTTTTCGCCAGATCTTCAATGGTTTGTTAAGCTCAATGAGGCTTCAATTAACATGCTGAGAATTGTGGAACCATATATTGCATGGGGGGTACCTGAACCTGAAGTCAGTAAATGAACTGATCTACCATCGTGGTTATGGCAAAATCAGTAAGAAGCAAATTGCTTTGACAGGTAACTTTGATTGCTCAATCACTTGGTAAATTTGGCACCATCTGCATGCATGGAGGATCTGATTCATGAAATCTATACTGTTGGAAAACGCTTCAAAGAAGCAACTAACTTCCTGTGGCCCTTCAAATTATCTTCTGCACAAGGTGGAATGAAGATAAAGACTACTCATTTTGTAGAACGTGGGGACGCTGGCAACAGGGGAGACAAGATCAACAGACTTATTAGAAGGATGAACTAAGGTATCCACCATGATTATTTTTGTAATCTGGTCAATAAACAAACAGTGGCTATTTTCAGATTGAAAAAAAAAAAAAAAAACCAGAAAAAGAAAAGAAAGAAACTTTCGAATGATTTGACTTAGCAGAAATAACATAAGAGAAATATTGGGGTCAGAGGAAGCATAGTGGTTAAGATGCTGGGTTCCCACATGGCTGACCATGGTTCGAGACCCGGACCTGGTGACCTGAAAATTACACCAGGCACACATTTATACATGCCCAAAATTCCAAGAGGAAAATGGAGGAGAAGTGACAGCACTGTGGCCATCATGGCCAATGATTTCTCACTTACCCTCTCATTGTCTCTCTTACCATAAAATGCCCTATGGCAAAAACCAAATAAACAAATCACTGTATCGGTTTTACTACAAGTACTTTTTTTTTTCCAAAGAGATTTTTGCTTTAGGGTGTGTGTGCTCACCACAGAAAAAGAGAGACAAAAAGTGAAAATCTCTCCCTAGGGGGGATGGTCATGCCACAGTCCTTTCTCCTCCACTCACCTCTCAGGATTTTGAGCACATATGCCCACGCATCTGGCATGGGTTTGAAGTCACTAGGTCTGGGACTCAAACCACAGTCAGTCATGTGGGAGTCCAGTAATGTAACCATTATGCTATCTGCTGGTTTCAGCAATTACTAGTTTTCTAATCTATTAAAGTATTAATACAGTGAAGAACTTTTTTTTTTTTTTTAATGTGGAATGCTTCACAAATTTCTATGTCATCCTTGTGCAGGGGCCAAGCTAATCTTCTTTCTATCATTCCAATTTTAGTGTATGTGCTGCTGAAGCAAGCACTGAAGACCAAATTATATCAAATTTTTTAAGATGGTGGAAAAACATTTTGCAAACTATATGCCTTTATTAAAAGGATGACCTGTTGAAATTTATTGAAGATTTTAAAGATAAATAATAAAAAATTCTTAATACTTCATGGATTAGACTTGAGTATTGCTCCAATTAAACTGATACAATTGAATTGCATGCATTATTCTTGAGTAAAGCTCATTGATGGTTTCTTTTCCTGTTCTTTCCTCTCAAAGCTGTAGTTTTCTGTTGATAATGACGATGATAGTGTTGTAAGAAATTCTCAATTTTAGCTTCCGCATGCATTCTATTTAAGAATTTCTCAAATTCTCAATTTCATAAGGTTTCTTGGAAGCCTTTATAGGGTGTCTGTCAAGTTTCCTATCAATTCTTTCCTGCTGCTGTCTTAGGAGTCTTATTTCTTCACTGATTCTGTGCTTTTCCCTTTGATGATAATCTTGATTCTTCCTTGGAAATGGACATTGTATATGATCTTAGGTCCTTTAAAATCTTGATAATGTCGAATTCTGTACTTCAAAACTGATCATCAGCATCTCTTCTGTATTCCTCAAGGGATCTGAGGAGTTGTCAGCAGCACCTTTAGTGACTCCATTGTCACCAGAGCATTCTGACATGAAGAAGGGGAGTCTACATGTTTCCTGGCCAATGCACAAAAATATAACGCAGAAATATGGGGGTGCAGGGGTGATTGGGCCCACACTCACAGTGAAACATGGGAAATGTATTAGCAAAGTGGGGAATTTATTCACAATATGGGAGTTTATGGGGGCATGGTGGTTAAGAGCACTGGACTCCCATATGGCTGACTGCGGTTCAAGTCCTGGACCTGGAGGCTTGTTTTCTTACTTTCCTTCTCTCTCACTCAGTCCCTCTCTGGTCAAATTAAAATAAACAAACAAATAAACAAAAACCAAAATGTGGAGTTTATTAAAGGAGAGGGAAGGAAAAACAGAGCTCCCAAGAAGGGAGGGGTCCCAGAAAATGGTTTGCCCACAAGCTATATGACCATTAATTTTGTTGTTTTTAAAAACAGATCACATGCAGATTAACAGTCCTAAATTATAAGAATGAAATCTATTTGTACAAAATACAACCATGCACCATTTGGATTAATTCACAAAAGAAAACACACACACAAAATAATCCTGTATAATTACATTTATATGAAGTTCAAAGATGGGTTAGTTATGACTATGATGTTAATAGCTCTGTGGGAAAAGAAGTGGACAAAACTGAGGGGACCTGAAGAGATTTTGGGGGTATAGGCAACATTCTATTTGTTGATCTGGGTAGTTAACTATGAAAGCATATTCGTGACAACTCACTGAGCTGTATACTTATGAAATAAACACTTTCCTATACGTTATTTAATAACAAGGTAATACAACAAGTTAAGATACATATGCATCTTTTTGCCCTGTTGCAATAAATAATAGACAAATAACCAGCAGGTAGTTAAGGTTCTGGACTCCCACATGGTCAATAACAATTCGAGTCTCAGGCCTGTGGCTTGCTTTCCCAGTGCCCCACCCCCACCCAATCTCTGGAGATCACATGTGCACTGTAGCAAATTTAAAAAATAATAATAAAATTAAATAATTCTTTTAAAAAATTCAACTGTTATATAAAGAATGAGTACAAATTAATCAAGAGAAGACAGTGCTCTTCATAAAAGAAACTTTATGAACAAAAGTCTTACAGCAGGAAAAAGCTTAACATTTGAAGAACTGTCCAGGGTAGAGAGAGTCTTAGCAAATTGACTTCAAAAACTATGAATCCAATGGCAAAGAAATCTCTATTACGGGATGAAGGCTATTTTAACACAGTGGCACAAAATATTCAAACTCTAGTCAACATACCAACTTTGTCCTTCTTTAACTCATTGTTCATTAAATGATCTCTTACACTGGATTGTTGGAAAAGTCAAGATATATTTTTCTATGTTTTTGTATGCAAAAATCCATCATAGGGACCAGCAGTTAGCGTAATGGCTATGTCCATGAACTCCCATGTAGTCAACCACAGTTCAAGTCCCAGACCCAGTGGCTTAAAACTACGCTGAGTGCGTGGCGTGCGTACCCAAGATCCCGAGAGGAGAATCGAGGAGAAGGGATTGTGATGTGGCCATCCCCCCTGGGGGGTGATTTCTCGCTTTCTATCTCTGTCTCTCTCTGTCTGGCTGGCGAATGCACGCGCCCTATAGCATAAACCTCTCAAAAAAAAAAAAAAAATCCATCATGACTTTTTCTGACAACCCAATAAATAAGCTTCCAATACATATCTAATTGTAAGAAGATAATGTGCTGTTTATGCCAGCTAGACAGTTCTAATCTCATATCTGTTCCTAGGACATAGATCTGCTCTTGATGTATTGATAAACTCGAATGTTTTTCTCTACAAAGCTGAAAGTTGTGATAAATTCATGGTAGTAAAGCAATCCTCTAGGTCCTTCATGAAGAAAGACTACTCTGATAGCATGTGATGACCACCTCTGTATTTTAGCGCACTAGTTCAAACTTTTACAGGTAATGTATTTTTGTTTTAAAGAGGTTCATGTTTCATTTTAAATTTGTCAAAACACTTTCAACCATTAAGGTTTTGATAAGGGGTGAACTTATAGAATAAGGCAACTACAGAAGAAGGAGAGAGAACAAGGCAGTATAATGTTTGATAGAAAAAAACCTACTTTGGGGACCAGCAGTTGTAATGGCTATGTTGCTAGACTCCCATGTAGTTGACTGCAGTTAGAGACCTGGACCTGGTGGCTTAAACTCACGCTGGGCGCGTATGCATGCGTGCCCAAGATCCTGAGAGGAGAATGGAGAAGGGATTGCGGCGTGGCCATCCCCCCTGGGGAGTGATTTCTCGCTTTTTGTCTCTCTGTCTGGCAAGCGCACGCGCCCTATAGCTAAAAGCTCTCAAAAAAAAACGTACTTTACTTGAAGTTAAATGGAACATAACGGTATTTGGTTATAGGTTAAATTGTGTTCCCCCAAAACATGTTGAAATCCTATCCCTAGTACCTATGTCTAAGTTCTTATTTGGATGATCAAGGTAAGTTGAGATAATTAAGGAAGGTCCTAATTTTTGCAGATGATCAAGGTAAGTTGAGGTAATTGAGGTAGGTCCTAATAATTAAGTCCTTATAAGAAGGGAAATTTGGACACACTGACAGACATGCATACAGGGAGAATACTATGTGAAAATAATGATGCATCTACAAGCCAAAGAATGCCAAAGATTACCAGCAAATCACCAGTACTAGGATACAGGCATGTAACACTATCTGCCTCACAGCCTCATAAGGAACTAACCCTGCTGACAACACTCTGATTCTGGACTTTCAGCCTTCAAAAGTGTGAAACAATACATTTTTCATGTTGAGACCAGGCAGTTTATGGCACTTCATTACATAGCCATAGCAAATTAATGAAATGTTTGATAAGACAACTCTAACTGTGAAAAAATCTAACAAGTGCACATTACTTTCTTTGAAGATTAACATTCATCATTTGTAAATAATAGATATAAAACTCAGACAAATACTTTTGTGGAATATCATCACTAATCCTTAACACAGTAATATTTAGACAGTGACTTAAAACACAACAGTATGGGAAAAAGAGCACTCACGTATTTTGAAGTTAAACTTGCAGCACTTATATTAAAGAAGGTTGCATTAGATTCTGCAGCTACTGCTTTAGCCTTTAAAAAAAAAATCACAAGAACAAATAATACATTAGTTCAATTTCTTGCTTCAAAAACACAAATACAACTGGATCAACTTAGCATTAGAAAAAAGATTCTCTAAAGATGTAAGGTATGACACAATTCCTAATATATGACAATCAATATGTTTCCTTTTCAACAGTGAGGACAAAGCTCCAGGAACAGTTATGTTTCTTTCCATCCTTTACTTTTGTCCCCTGTAACAGATGGGTAGAAAGAGGTTTTTAAGGGGCCAGCAGGTGGGGTGGTGGTTTAAGGAGTTGTACTCCCACATGGCTGCCTGCAGAGTCCCAGATCGGGTGGCTTGCTATATTACTTTCCCTTTCTCTCTCTCTCTCTGGTCAAATTAAAAACAAATAACAGGGCTGGCAGGTGACATGCTGGTTAAGGGCGTTGGACTTCCACATGGCCAAGGGAGATTTGAGTCACAGACCTGGTGGCTTGCTTTCTCTCTCTTTCATTCTTCTCGCTCTGTCCCTCTCAAGTCAAATTAAAATAGATTAATAAATAAAGTTTAGTCATTCTTAAAAATAATAATAGTAACAAATAAAGTTAAATAATTCTTTAAAAAAAGAAAGAAAGAAAAAGGTTTTTAAAAAAAAGGGAGTGCTGGAGCCAGCAGGTGGCGTGATAGCTAAGGCACTGGACATCCCCACATGGCTGACCACGGTTTGAGTCCCAGACTGGTAGCTTGCTTTCTCACTTTCCTTCTCTCTGTATGTCTGTCTCTCTGGTCAAATTAAAATAACTGAATGAATTTTAAAAATTAAATAAATAATTCTTTTTTTTTTAAATAAAAATATTTTTTTTTTTTTTTTTTTTTTAAAAAGGGAGTGCGGGAGCCAGTAGGTGGAGTGGAAGTTAAGGCGTAGAACTCCCACATGGCCAATCGTAGTTCAAGTCCCAGACCTAGCAGCTTGCTTTCTTTCTCTCTCTCTCGATGGTGAGCATGCGTGCCCTGTAGCAAATTTTAAAAATACAGAGGCCAGCAGGTGGCATGGTGGTTGAGGGTGCTAGACTCCCACGTCTGATCACAGTTCTAGTCCCGAACCTAGCGGCTTGCTTTCTCACTTTCTCTCTCTCTGTCCCTCTCTGGTCAAATAAAATAAATAAATAAATGGATAAAGTTGAATAAAATAATTCTTATAAAAAATAATAATGATAGATAAAATTAAATTTTAAAAGAGGGCGTGCTAGTCTCTTCTTAGGTATTGAAAGATAATTGGTTTGAAAACAATAAACATGATTTTTCTTTGAGAGAGATTTTTGCTATAGGGCATGTGCACTTGCCAGAAACAGAGACAGCAACAGAGAGAGAGAAAGTGAGAAATTATCCCCCAGTGGGGACTGGCCATTTCTCAATCCCTTTTCCTCCATTCTTCTCTCAGGATTTTGGGTATACATGCCCGGCATAAGCTTCCAGTTCCAAAATCCAGACCTTGAACTGCTGTCAGCCACCTATTGGCCCCTATTTGCTTTTTCTTTTCTTTTTGAGAGATTTTTGCTATAGGGTGTGTCAGCTCACCAGAGATTTGGAAAGTAAGAAATTAACCCCTGGGGAGACGACCACATTGCAATCCCTTCTCCTCCATTCTCCTCTTGGGATCTTGGGCATACACATACACATACCCAGTGTGAGTTTAGGCCGCTGGGCCTGGGACTTGAACCATGGTTGACTCCGTGGGGGTCCCGTAATGAACCATTAACCTATCTGGTCCCTCTATCTGCTTTTTCTATCTAGAAGACCTATGTAGAAGAACGAAGTATTCAGATCCTAGGAAAAAACTGGCAACAGGAAACTAGAAAAAAATCTATAATGTTCCACAATTGAATAAAGCTGTGAAGTTTAAAAAAAAAAAAAAAACGTCAAGCATTAGAAAGACACTCAAGGGGCCTGAAGGTAGTGTGGTGGATAAAGCATTGGACTCTCACATGGTCAACTGTGGTTTGAGTCCTGAACCTGGTGACTTGCTTTTTTTATTCTCCCTCCTTCTCTCTCTCTGGTCAAATTAAATAATAATAATAAAAAATAAAAATAAACAATCCTAAAAAAAAAAAAAAAAAAAAAAAAAATCCCC